CACCCATACTCTGCCACACACTCAGGCAGTCCCCCATACATCTAGGCACTCCCCCATACACTCAGGCACTCCCCCATACTCCCAGGCAGTCCCCCATACACCCAGGCACTCACCCATACACCCATACTCCTCCATACACCCAGGCAGTCCCCCATACATCTAGGCACTCCCCCATATACCCAGGCACTCCCCCATACACCCAGGCACTCCCCCATACATCCAGGCACTCCCCCATACACCCATACTTCCCCATCCTAGTCACACATCTTTTAAAACTCTACAGAGGTAGCCATTACTCTTGTGTTTCGTAATTACGTTTTTGCTTTGTTTATAATTTTATGAACTATATTCAACCTTAAACAGCATGAAATAGATTTGTGAACATTTGAGCTTTATTTAAAGAGAGTGGTGCTTTTGTCCAGCTTCTTTTGCACAAATATACATTCACACACACATATGAACATATATACACATACATAATAATTGTGTAAGATAGTTTAATATATTTGTATTAATTTTTTTGTCACTGTGACAATTACTTGAGAGAAATGATTTAAAAGAGGAAAGGTAGGGGGAGGGACTGGAGAGATGGGTCCAGAGGTTAAGAGCACTGGCTGGTCTCACAGAGGACCCGGGTTTGGTTCTCAGAACCCCCATAAGCAGTTAACCATCCAAAACTCCAGTTCCAGGGGATCTGACACCATCTTCTGGCCTCTGCAAGCATTGTGCGACATGGGTATACCTTCATGCAAGCAAAGCATATACTCATACACATAAAAATGAAAATAATAATAAAAATCAAAAAATCAAAAAAGAGGAAAGATTTATTTTGGCTTGTGGATTTGGAGGTTTTAGCTCATGGTCAGCAGCACTGTGGCTTTGAGGCCCATGTTGCGACAGGGACATAAGAGGGGAAGTGCATCATAGAACAAAACTTCTCATTTCATGGCATTTAAGCAACAAGGAAGACTAACAGGACGAGGCAAGGCCAAGATACACCCCCAGAGACGTGCCCCAGTGACACATTTCCTCAAGCTGGGTTCCGTCTTCTTCAGTGCCCTCACCCCCTAGCAGTCTATTTCAAGTCTGAATCCATCAGTGGATTAAAGCGGTACTTAGGTTGGAGCCCATGTGATCTAATCGCCTCAGGGAACATTCTCTCAGACTGGCTGTGTGGTGTGCTGTGCCAATGTCCTTCACATCTCTCGGTTCATTCAAGTTCAGAGATCAACCATCACGTTATTCTTTATCCATTTGAGTTTTCAGATATAATTATAGTGCCTTGCTTTTTCGTGTTCTATAGTATTCCGTCATACCAACCCATCATGAAGTCTTTCTGCATCTTACTCCTACTGGGTATTTAGGTTGTTTGGGATTTTAGATTGTTCTGGCCAATGCTGCTATGAATATATATTTTTAAATATATATATCCTGGCACATGCAAGTAGATGCCTGTGAACACATATGTAGAAGTAGAGATAGACCTTCACTTATCTATAGGAAAAGACTGAGCTGCAGTTTAGTGGATTCTTAGAACAGGCAGCAGAGTCAGGAAGTCGACCAAAGGTTCTTCCCTGGAGGGGTGTGATGCTCTGAGCCGAACGCTCTGAGAATACTGATGGGGTATACTAGGCAACTCTAAGGTGCAGCTGTGCTTTTGGTAGTTTCCTTAGCCTACAGAGACAAGATTGAGTGCCCATCCAGTGGATAGGTTCCAACAGAATACCTTGGGAGCTGGTGCAAGAGACCTAGTCTTTAGAGAAAGACAGCATTGTTTTAGGCTTGGGAGAAGTTACTAAGCCTTGTTCTCTCTGTGATCTTACAGGAAGTGCCTGCTAGCTTGTTAGTTCACAGATGTTTGGAGGAGATGCATTTTTAGTTTCCCAGCAACTTTTGTTGTCTTAGTAGGAAGTTATATGAATTAATTGTTTTGGTACAAGCCTCCGCCATCCTATAGGAGCATCATAAGTTCCTGCTTACGTAGGCTGTGTATGTTAGAGTTTGCTTAGGCTAGTTTACTAGAGATGGTTACCTAATTTTCAGGAATTTTTTAAGCTACTTCACTTCAGCCATTTCTAAAAATTAAATGACATAAACTTAAAAAAAAACCCAAATCAGTATCCTCATAACTCATCATTTCCTGATTAAAACTTTTTCCTATTTTTTTCTCATGAGAGTGTTTAAGTTGGA